CTCCTCTCCTTTTTCATATCACCTCTTTCATTAGCTCGCTATCCAGACTTGATCCCATCTGCCTTTTTCATGAGTGACCTTTGAAACTCAGGCTGCACAGATATTTGCTGAATCAGCAGGACCATATGCTGCTCCTCTTGCTTGGTTTCAGGCCAATGGGAAAATATTCCAGGATACCTTTGTGAGATTCTATGGTGTTACTATGTAGGCCTGGGAGGGCTCTGGAATAAGAAAGGAGAGAGCAGGGGTGCAGCAAGGCAAAGGGGGCTGGTGAGGAGGAGGAAATCCATTGACATTTCCTAGAAGCCAGGGGTGACTTGTATCTCTTGAATTGTGTTATTTGGGGGTGAAAGGGAGGGAAGAACAACATTGTGGGCCCTTGGAAAGGCAGAGAACAGCAAATCTTTACAAGTGCTCACTCCGTGCCAGCTTCCAGGTGAGCAAAAATACACACACTCCCTCTTCTCAGTGAGCCTTCATTCTGTCCCTATTTCCAGCTTACTACTAGAAGTCTTCTCCTTGCTGGGGATAGGGGAAGAGAAGGATAGGCAGGTTGGTGAGGATTGGCCATAATGCAGTTTCTTAAGCAACCAGATCTTTTAGGCACAAGGTAGACAAGAACGCTGAGGCGCTGAGGCTCTCCTTACCCTATTGATAGGATTTCGGCTGGTGGGATAGGATCAGGATAGTGGGGGACTGTACTGTCAGAGGATGGGATGACATGCACAAGCAATACAGATATCTCTGTGCACCGAATCTTCGGGCTCTTTCTCTTATCCAGCTATCCTCGACTCTTCCTGTTCCTGATATAAACCCTTGACTCCAACCAATAAAATCTTCTCTCTGGGCTCTGAATATGATTTGTATGCCCATCCTTTTCACCCTATTCTGTTCTGATAGAGGGTAGCTCTATGCAACTACAATCTGCTTACACTCGCTTAAATGTTTCTAGATATGTGTTTCCTGTATGTTGATCTGGGAATGTTTGCTTCTTTCCTATCTTTCCACAGCACAGAGTGCAGGGATTTGAATGGACTAGACACTTGATACAACAGAGTTGACTCATTGACAGACCTTCCTACGCTTTTAATAGCTCCCAGGGTGGCCCAGTCATCAGTTCCTCCAAGAAGAGATATCTACTCCAATCAGCATCTTAGATAACAGGGTGAAAAACACATCCAATGATCTTCTAGCCATATTCTGGCCTCCAGTCACTGTGAAACCATGGAGCTCAAATTATGTCCTAAGATTTATTTTATGCTGAAAGAACGGGAATAGAGAGGTGGAGATGTGCACATGCAGCTTAAGTAGAAGCAAAGGATAGAAAGAAGAAAATATGGGAAAAAGAAAGTGTGTGAGGGAAGGGAAGAAAGGGGTAAGAGAGAAGGAAAGAAAAAGAGAAAGTGGGAAAATAGTGAGGAAGAGGATGTGTATAGAAGGAAGACAAGGGATGAAAGAAGAGAAAAGAGGACAGGAACTACTGAGCCATTCAGACTTCATGGCCACTTGGAGGTGAGGAGTTTGGGGTAGGAGCTGAATTTGAATTATAATGCAAGAACCTTACCCAGCTTCCAGTAATCCTCTGCCCATGAGCTTGGGGAAATAAGGAAGCCCTGGTATCCATGGTTGGGTGGGTGGGCAAACATGTGCTCAAACAGAGACTGTGTGGTCACACTGAAGCAAGTACCTTCAGGTAGGATCATATACTCCCATGGCAGGTCAGATTGAAGCTCTGGCTCTAGCCAGGAAAGGGATAATCAATTCTGTAGATGCTGTGAGACTTGATTGAAAAAATAAAGAGGACGAAGCTACGATTCCTGCTTTCATTAGGAGGCAAAAGCAGTGGGGGCTGGAGCTTAGCAAAAGCTATGAAGCATGCAGAAAAAGAATTTTAAGAATTTGAGCATCTTTTTTTTTCCATGATATCTCTGCACTCATCCATCTTCACATCACTGCTTCCTTGGCCTGACCTCCAAGGCCACTGCTTTTCTATCTCCCTCAGCTGAAGGAGAGAGAGAAGCCAGCCTGCATATCAATGCAGGTCTGATGACAATTAAACAATCCATTATTTCCCAATCCCAGGTTCCTCAGGGCTCTTGCCTTTCCTGGATTTGGGCAAGAAGAGTTCTGGGAATAAGAGATAAACTGTGTGATGAGATAATGCATCTAACAGTGCCTGGCCCTGGTAACCCTCACTCACCTCTCAGCAACCTCATCAGGGCCACATTCTCACTATAATGAGGCCAGAGAAGGGAGAGTGAGAAGTGAGAAAAGATTTCAGTGAAATTACAATCCAAAGTCCCCTTTCTGCCATCTCTTCCTCCTACTTCAGCACCCCCAGTAGAGAACTGACTCGTTAGGGTCCTCACCAGGAGAAACGCTAGGGAGAGGGCTGCTGGTTCTGCTCTTCTTCTCACCGCGCCCTGTCCATGGAGATTTCTCCCTGCTTGCTGGCTTCATCTAGGCTTGCACCATTGAGAGGTATGGGCAGAGGAGGACAGACATACAAAATGGGGGTCACTGGTAGAGAGCAGGGTGGGGCCAAACATGCAAAGATAATTCCTTCCTGAGGTTCTGTGGGGGAAACTTAGGTTGAAGTTAGGCAAAACAGTAGGGGAAATGAGTGGTCCAAAAGGCACAAAAGGCACTCATCAAACCAAGATGCCCATGATTTCACATCTAAGGGGAGAGAGAGCTGCAGGAAGGAAGTGAGGCATGCATGTTCATTCTCAAGCTCTCTAAGTCTCTAGGTGTTCAGACTTGAGGAGCAAGAGAAAAAGCTTGAGTATCTGGAGAACTGAAAGAGCTACTAATATTAACCTCTTAGTGTCTGGCACAACTTCCTAAGTGAGAGATTTTCAACAACTTCCACTCTCTTCTACCATTCTAATTATTACTTATTTTTGTTCTGCTCTCTTGGGAAGCAGAAGCAGGACAAGGGGAAAGGAAAGATAACAGTTCCTCTTTGATTTTGCCATATGAGGCTGGATAGGAATCCAGGTGATTCCTAAATCCCTGAATTATCAGCAAGAGCACCTGGCAGGAGAGTTTGGGCTGTCTAACCCACTTGGGGGGCCATAGCAAAGTTCTTATCCAAGAAAAATGATCTTTTCTCAACCCTTCTTGTCCACACAGTCCCCTTCAGGGATGCAAGGAAAGCGGGGTAGAGCGGAAGAGAAGGAGATGCTAAAGGGCATGAGGAGAAGAATGAGGTGAAGAACTGTCATTACCAGGAAGCTGTGGCTACCCCCAGGGAAGTGGAGTGGAATTGTTCTTGTCTCATTATGTAGAAAAAGCCACATTATATCTTGAGCCTTTTGATGAGCTATGGGCATGAGGGAAAACTGTGACTTTCTGTTTTTCATGCTAGATAAGGAAAGAAAATAGTGAAACTGGAGGAAGGGCAAATGGGCCATTGAGGGAGCTGAGGAAGAAAACTGTGTCTTCCCGGTAATGAATCAAATGCTTTAGGTCTGCCATGTAAGATCATCCTAGATGTTTCTCCTTAAGATCCCAAGGTTCCAGTCAAATCTAGCCTGTGAGCTAACATGTCCTGACCAAACTTCTCTAACCCTACAGTGGATGTGAGAAGAAAATGAATTTTTAAGAAATACATCAAATCTTCACGAATATCCCCAGACCTGAAGCATGCCAAGACTGAATGAAGATGAGATTTTTGGCTTTCCTCTCTCCCCCTCCACTCCACAACCCACTTCTTTAAGCATCATCATTGTCAGGGTTGGGTGCTGACCAGGTGCTGATTTCCCCTGAGCTGTTCTCCATGCAGTTCTCCCATCACCTGTCTAATCAGAGAAAGGAAGTTAACATGATCACAGCCTTCCCAATACAGAGGAGAGAATATTCTAGTCCCTTTCATCTCTTCTCATATTCCTAGTTTATGGATATTGGGAATAAAGAAAGAGATGGGGTCCTGGAGTCCCTCATGGGCGGTTAATGAGCATGTTTCTCTCAGGACCCAACATGAGATTCCAGTTATCACTCAATAATGAAAGGGAAACGATGTTTGCAGTTACCAGCCATAATGGAGAGATTTAAACAGGAATTACATTCAAATACCAACTCTGTTTGCCAACTGTCTCTCTCATCATTGTTCCCTTTCCATGACTGCCAACCACCCTGCACAGAAATCCTCCTTGAGTCAGAAGAAAAAGCTATAACCAGACTGAGTGCTCACACTATAACCAAGTCGTCCATTGGCTTGGTAGGTTGTTACCTTGCATCCCTTTGGTTCTGTGCAGATTCATAAGAAAGGTGCCTACTCAGGTCAGAGCAGAGTAAGCTTCCCTAAATGAGCCACTCTTGGCTTTGACTCCCACTGCATCAGTTAAGGAGCCAGCTTGTTCTCTGGGAAGTGCTTTCTCCCACCCTTCATCTTCCTCTGCATTCACTCCCCCTCCCCAACTTCTTACATCTTTCTTCTTTTTCAGCCTTATCCTCTGCCTCTTGAATTCCTTGAGATCCCAATTCTACTCTTCCTGGACCCTAGCCCTTTTAAAGCTCTTTACATGTCTCTTTGCCTCTGTCTTTTTCATGTCTCACTCTCTATTCAAATAATTTTACTACCCAAACTCCTGTTCAAATTTTCCCTAACTTAAAAACATTTTTTCAACAGTTCTCTTTTCTTCAGTTTAATATTCACCCCAACTTCCTCCAAATCTTATCTCCTTTAAAAAATGCCAGTTTCTAATATCCTCAATCACTTAAACCTCACTTCTTTCCTCCTTTACCCCTAATAATGGTCTCGATACTCCCTTTTGCTCCAACACCCCCCAAAACCTCTCAAACACTGATATGATTTCCTCCTTTCTTCCAGATCTCCTTGACACACTTATAACCCCAAGAATCTTCTCATCCCTCCACTCCACATTATCCTAGTCCTTCAGACTCTTAGGTGCACTCGATTTTCCCCTCTTGTCCTCATACTCATTTGCTTTCCTTTCTCCCACCGCAGCAGTCCCCATCCCCTCTTCTCCACTCACTCAGGTCTCCTGCTCAGGACGCCCTTGCTGAGGGCAGCGGGGGATTTGTGCTGAAGGAGGGTTCCAGCGGCAGCGCAACAACTCGGAGGACGCTCCTTCTCCTTGTCGGCGACGGCTCCAGGAGCCACTGGGTGCTGGTGGGGCGACTGGGGTGCGTGAGCTCTGGTACTGGGGCCCGGCTGGGGCTGCACCAGGAGCTGTCCCTGGTGCTGAAGCGGTGGTTGCTCCGACGCGGGCTGTGGCGAGGCGGACAGGAGCTGTCCGTGGTTCTGGAGCTGTTCGTGGGCCCCGGAGGCGGAGGTGGCAGCAGTGGCTGGGGTAGCCGGCAGCGGGGCTGGCGACGGGGGGATGAGCCCCGGCGGAGGCTGGGCTTGCAGAAGCTGCTGATGCTCCCACAGGCTGCGGTTCTCGGCGCTTAGCTCGTCTAGCCGCCGCTCCAACTCGTCGATGCGCTGGCGCTGTGTGTGGATAAGGCTCTGCTGGTTCTGCACGATGGCCGTGAGCTCCTTGAGGTAGAGCACGGCACGCACCGGATTCTCCAGCAGGCTCTCCATGCCGCTCGCCGCCGCCTGCGCCCTGCCTGTGCTTCGGCGGGCGACAGGGAGCGCGCGGGCGCGCGGGAGCGAAGCAGCCCCAGCGATCCGCTCGCTTCCCTCTTCAGCGGGCCCAGCTTCCCTCACCGCCGCCGGCGCCGCGTCACCGCCACACATTCACACACGCACCGAGGGGCGGGGCCGCGGCGCCAGGCCCACCCTCCCACCTCCAGGCTTCGTCCTCCCACCTCCAGGCTTCCCGACGAGTCTCGTCTTCCTGCAGGGCTGACAAGAGAGGAGAGAGTGGGTAGGTGAGCAGGATAAACGAAGGAGAGCTGAGATTGATGACATAAATCTGGAGAGAAAAGGAAAGCGGAAGAGGCGGAAGTAGAGGTACTAGGAAAGTGCGGTGGGACAGGTAGGAGAAGAGAAGCCGATAAGGAAAGAGGAAAAAAAAGGAGAGACTGAGAGCACGAGGACGTTCAGAAAAACTGACAGTGGCAAAAGGAGAGAGAGCTGTATTTAAAAAGAGGAAGTTATGGGACTCCGAAAGGGTCACGAGTTCTTTTCCCTATGTCCAGCTATCTCAGAGGCTAGGGATCCATCTTAAAGACCCCCTGAGGAGAGACCACAATTACTTCTTTTGTACTCAACAATCTGTTCTTCTAGGGAATTTCCTGGAACACTATAAGAGATATTATAGAATACCTAGTCCTACTCCTTCGTTCAGCCAACGGGAAACTTTGAATAGGAAGGTTGTTTATGCTGGGTTTTCTCTGGGAATTAGAGCTCAGGACAGTTTGGGCCACAGGAACCCGGAATAAATAAACCAGGCCCTCTAGAAGCTTCTGAAGGGATCATTCTATTTGAAAAGCATTTATAAAATGCATACTACTGACACACTCCAAGCTAGATGGTGTTAAGGATGACTAAAATGGACTCTTTAGCTTCCTGAAGCTTATGATTAAGTAGGTGAAATAGGTAATAAATATTTAATTTCAATCTATAGCGATGGTTGTAAGTGATGAGATAGGGATATGCTCAGTGTGCTATAAGAGCCCAACAGCTTGGGCATCTGAGGAGGCTTATTGGAGAAAATAACACTTGAAGCGGGAAGGATTTTCTGGAAAGAGAGAACAGCATAAGCAAAAGCTCAGAGATATGAATCAGCATGGACTAAGTCATTCATTAATTTCTACAATAAATCTATGTAAAACACCCACCAAGTACTATGTACTAGGGAGTATGCAGGCTACTTAGCATAGATAATAAGTTATAGTTTCTATAATCAACAAGATTACAAGTTACTAGATATGGTGTGTACATGAATAAACTAAAATACAAATCAAAATTTCTGTAAGACCTCTTCAAAGCAAGTGCCATAGGAGTTTCACAGAGGGAAAGGTTTTGTTAGAGTGGTTTTGTTTAATCTAATTTAGGAGAGAAATGACCCTTTCCTCTGGGCTATAAGTGCTCTTCCTATATCTATTGTTGTACTGTTCCATTCTCCACACAGGTGGTCCCTCAGGCTCTCTGGCAACCTGCTGTTCCCCCGGGGTAAGCATATCTATGAATACCATGTGTTCAGTGAGTTGGGCCAGCCAAGCCCATCTGGTGCCAGACTTGAATGACCTTATGGAAAGGGATCTGTGCTCTGCAAATATATTGATTTCTCTGCACTTGTTATATATTTTTATTTTGCTTTTCTTCCATTTATTTTCCTAGCAAACTTCCTTTTGTAAAGAATGAGTGAAGAAATCTTATCCACAGCTGAGCCAACAGTTGGGAGAACAGAGCACCCAGGAGGACACATTTGTAGCAATCAGTGTTCTAGCTAAACAGTGGAGGTTGGGGGATAAAATCAGAGCACACAAAAATTTAAACACTTTTCTTCTGAATTCTCTTTGCTTGTCTGGCTGATTTGTTGTCCAAGAGTTGGACGCTCATAGAAACCAATACTATTTCTGTAAGTGAAACAACCTGCAACGTAATTATCCATGGGGCATGTTTAAAATGCAGATTTTTGTGGCCCCATATAAGCCCTGCTCTGATGGAATCACTAGGAATGGGGCCCAAATATTTTCATTTTTTAACTTTTTTCTCTTATTTAAAAGATCAACTTTATTGAATTACAATTTACATGCAATAATATGTACTCACTCTGAGTGAACAGTTCAGTGAATTTTGACAAATATACACACCCATGTAGTCAAAATTTCCATCACTTCAAAAAATAACCTTTTGTCTTTTTGCAGCCCATTACTCTCACCCTCAGCCCCAGTCAACTGCTAATCTGCTTTCTGTTGAGATAAATTAGTTTTGCCTTTTCTAGTATTTTATATAAATGACAATCATAAAGTATATATTCTTTGTGTCTTTCTCTTTTGCTCAGCATTATGCTTTTGAGGTTCATCTATTGTTATAGGTATCAATAGTTTGTTCCTTTTTATTTCTGAGTAGTATTCTTTGGTATGAATATCCCATAATTTATCTATTTACCTGTTGATGGACATTTCTATTGTTTCCAGGCTTTGGTTATTTTGAATAAAGCTGCTACGATCATTAATGGAAAAGATTTTGTGTGGACATATATGCACTAACATGTTTCATTTCACATGTTTTATGTGAACATATGTTTTCATGTTTCATATGTTTTATCTGGATGAAAAATCTGGAATTGGAATTGCTGTGTCATATGTGAAGTATATATTTAACTTAATAAGAAATTGCCAAATTATTTTTTAAAGTGGTTGTACTATTTTTTATTCTAACCAGCAATGTAAGAGAGATTCAAGTGTTTCATATTTTGGCTAACACCGGGTATTTTTAACCCTTTTTAATTTTATCAACTTGAATGAATAAGTAGTAGTAGTAGTAATATGGCTTAAATAAGTGTTTCTCTGTTGAGTAATGCTATTGAGCATCTTCTCGTGTGCTTATTGGCCACTTTTATATCTTCTTTGCCCACTGTTTCTATTGAATTGCTTGTCTTCTTATTGAATTGTAAGAGTTCTTTATATATTCTGGAGAGCACTCCTGGTCAGATGTATATATTGCAAATATTTTCTCCAGTCAGTGGCTTGCCTTTTCATTTTCTTAACAATGTCCTTTGAAGAGCAAAGGTTTTTATTTTGATGAAGAAAAACTTAACCAATTTTTTTTTTTTTTATATTTCATGCTTTTGTGTCCTATCTAAAAATTCTTTGTCTATCCCAAAGCCGAAAACATATTTTCTTGTTTCATTCTAGAAAGTTTATAGTTTTTGCTTTTATGTTTAGGTTTATGATCCACTTGGGGTTTATTTTTGTGTTTAGTATAGAGTCAAAGCTCTTTTCTTCCCTTAATGTTTGACAGAATCTACCATTGAAGCCACATCAGCCTGAAGGTTTCTTCGTGGGAAGATTTAACTACAAATTCAAGGTTTGTTTGTTTGGTTGGTTGGTTTTTTGGTTTGTTTGTTGTTGTTTTTTTACAAGATTTGGGGCTATTCAATTTCTTTGTGTATCCATTTTGGTAATTTGTGTCTCTGGTAGGCAGAATGACCACCCAAAGAAATCTTAATCTCCAAACCTGTGAATATATTATCTTACATGGCAAAAGCTACTTTAAATATGTGATTAAGTTAAAGATCTTAAATGGGAAGATTATCCTGAATTATCTGTATGGGCCTAATGAATCACAAGAGTCTTCATAAAAGTGAGGCAAGAGTGTCAGAAAGATGTGACAACAGGAATAGAGGTCAGAGTGAAGCAATTGCCATCTGGGAAACAGAAGCCAGGGAATGCATGTAGCCTACAGAAACTGGAAAATGGAGGGAAACAGACCCTCCTCCAAAGTCTCCAGAAGGAGTATACCTTGATTTTTGCTAGGTGGAACCCATTTTGGACTTCTGACTTCAGAAAGGTAAGATAATACATTTGTTTTAAGTCACTATGTTTGTGGTAATTTAACAGCAGCAGTAGGGAAGAATACAACTCTTTCATAAATGTATCCACTTCATCCGAGTTGTCAGTCTTGTTGGCATGAAGTTGTTCATAATATTTTTCTATTAGCCTTTTCATGTCTGTAGGCTGTGTATTAATGTCTCCTCTTTCATTTCTGATTTTGGTAATGTGTATATTTTTTAAAATCAGGCTGGCTAGAGATTTTTCTATCTTTTTGATATTTTCAAACAACCAGTTTTTGGTGTCATTGATTTTTCTCTATTGTTTGTTTATTTTCTATTTCATCAATTTCCTCTCTTACCTTTATTTTTTTCTTTTTTTTTACCTACTTTTGTTTTCATTTACTCTTCTTTTACTAGCTTGTTAAGATGGAAGTTTACATTATTGACTTTAGACCTTTCTTCTCCTTTAATATAAACATTTAAAGCTCTAAAGTTTCCATTTAGCACTGTTTTAATGCCTTCCATAAATTTCATTTTCATTTTCATTCAGTGCAAAATATTTTATAATTTCCATGTTACTTTCAAGTCTGTCTATCAGTGATTTCTAATTTAATTCCTTTGTGGTCAGAGAACATATGAGTTCAATCTTTTTAAATTTATTGAAACTTTTATATGGTACAATTTGTGGTCTATTTTGATGAATGCTCCATGTGCAATTGTCTAATAGCCACTCCAGCTTGCTCCTTAGTAATGTTTTCATGTGTGGTAAGCAGAATAATGGCTCTCTGAAATGCCCATATCCTATCTTGTGAACCTATGGATATGTTACCTTACATGGCAACAGGGACTTTGCAGATGCCATTAAAATTAAAGACCTTGATATGGGGTCTTTAATTGTCCTGGATTATCCAGGTGTGCCCAACCTAACTGCATGATTCCTTAAAGATGAGGAATTTTTCCTGGTTGTGGTTACAGTGAGATGTGACGACAAAAGAATGGTCAGGTTAGTGTGATGTTTGCTTTGAAGATGGAAGAAAGGGCTGTGAGGGATGTGGGTGGCCTCTAGAAGATGGAAAAGGCAAGGTAATGAATTCTCCCTTAGAGCTTTCACAAAGGGATGCAGCACCGCCAATGC